GACACTCCGCCTTTGAAGGGGTTGCACCTTCTGCAGACGAAGCAGTGGGTCTATTTATATCCCCCCGACCCACTGGGGGTGGAGTAAGAGTTTTACAGCACTTGCAACACAATAAGGTCATATAAGTGCTGAAGATCAGAGGCGTAACAAGAGAGAGTAAAGCACACATAAGAAGGAGAGATCAGGATGACAGTTGTTTGAACAGGAAAGAAGGAGCAAACCACACCTGAGCACCTGCCAACCACCTGCAAGAATTTTGCAGCCAGTAAATATTTAAAAGCATTTTGAAAACAACATAGGACTGCCTGAAAGAAAAAGACAAATAAAAGGCCAAATATCTAATAGTCTGTTGTACTCCGGTTAAAACAGATTTAAAAAACTGAAGTTAAATACGCCTGATATCTTGCTGGGGAACACACGAAAAGAAGTATTAGAAGTAAAATGGAAAGACATCGGAAACAAAAGGAAGGGCGGGGGAGGGGGAGAGGTTGGTTTGTTTGATTAAAGAAATGGAAATGCACGTAGACACAATATGAGTCATTTAAAGTAGGATATAAGAAAGACAATTTGATTTTAAAAAACAGAGTAAGAGAAAAAAAAATAGAACCTGTCAGTGACACTCTTCAACCACTCATGAAATGAAAGGTAAGTGAGGAAAAGAAAAAAAAAGACACTGAATGAGGACATGGATCAGGAAGGGAATAAACCCCACAGGCATGGGCATGCGCGAGCGCGCGCGCGCACACACACAAGAAAGAGGAGAATGGTAATTTCCAGAAGAGAAGAAAAATGGTTTATCCTAAGAGATGAACTCGGCAGATGAACACATCACCTGGGAACACATGAACTTGAAGTCAGGGTATTTCTCCATCAGCCTCAGGCTACAGCTCCAGGAGCGTGCACATTTGCGTATGGTCTCCGCGTATGGCCACAGCCATGCTAGAACAAAACAAATAGGCAACAGGAGCTATTATCATTGTCATTGTATAGTGTCGCCCAGCTGTTTAGATGTACAGAGCCCAAAATTTTTACTTTTAAAATTGGTAGCATGTGCTTCATAGATATTTTGAAGAAATTCAAATTTTAAATGTTGTAAAAAGAAAGAAACAGATACATGGTGTAGGTTAGGCTACTGGACTCATAATTGTGAGGTTGTGGGGTCGGGGGTACTGGGTTCAAGCCACGGGCCCGACGTTGTGTCCTTGGGAAAGGCACTTTACACGAATTTTCCTCACTTCACCAAGGTGGAAATGGGTACCCAGCCATAGACAGTGAAAGATCTTGTCAGTATGTTAGTGTTTTAGCGCCTATAAACGGCTGCTTGCACTGTATGTTTCCCAGGAAGTTGAGCTTGTTTCAGAATGCTCTCAGGTCTGCTGGGGTAATAGTATAGATTGTGAAGCGCATAGAGCTTGCTGTTGAGCAGGGATTTGCGCTATACAAATGCTATCTATTATTACAAATGATAGTAAAAGGAATGAAACAACTTTTTCTCTCTCCTGAAAAATGTTGTTATCTGAACTAAGGACTAAAAAACAGATTTAGAACCCCTTTCAATACTCTACAAAAATATTTAGGAAGCACGACCTCCTATTTTAAAGTCCAACTCTGATAGGACTGGGCCAAATGAGAGGAGAGCCTAAAAACTCTCCAAAACAATGTAGCTTCAAAATGCCTTGTTGGGAATTCGAAACAAGGTCATCAGCTCCCTTGTTTAGCATGGTACTATCTGAGTTAACGGAGCACCCCAAAAGTAACCACAAGGAACAAAAAATCTACAAACATTTTTAGAATGTTGTTTATTTACAATGAAATACTCAATAATACATATGCAACAACGTGTTCAGTTTGGAAAAAGTGTAAATTAATTCACAAAATTTAAGCAAGTCATCTTGTTGACGAAGGTATATTTGTGAAAAAACCTATACATCTGCATTAGTTTACCAAGGCAGAGGTGACTTTTCCACTAATTATCAAGTCATTTGACAAACAAAGTATAGGCCATAATAAATTTTCATCAGCTAATCCTGTTTAACTCTTTCCGGATGTATCGCCGATATATTGGCGCGAGTCCACACCCCTTGCGGACGTATCGCCGTATGATGGGGTGTCTCAGCTTTGTTTCGTATTAACATGATCCATTATTTATAAGTACTTTTTATTGTTGTTGAAAACTTGGAACTGGTTAAGGAAACAAAAACATCTAGTTTCACTTTGTCAAAGCGTCGGTCTGGCGAAATACGAGTGAATTAGTTCTTGGGGTCTTGAATCAACAAAACGATCTAACCGGACTCAGTATAAATATCATAACTCAAACAAAAATTTGAATATTGCATTCAAATAAAAAGCTGTGTATTCAGAAATTTATGGATGGAGTCTGCTCTTGGCCTGTATATAAGATAGCTATACTGATTCGCTTCCACATGTTTAGTGTGTGTAATTGTTTCCGTCAAAATGTATTTTTCTCACCACCATCTAACCCTTGTAATGAATACTTATGTCCAAAATTAATCCTTGCTTCATGTTGGAATGCATTCTTTATTCAATTTCCTTCAATTCATATATCACATGTTACGGTTTGAGTGCTTATATGAAGTTATTTTGTACATCACCTGTGTAGCTGAATCGAGTCACAAGTTAATTACGTCTAGACCCCCAAAACAACTACGTCCGGGAAGAGTTAAGAATACATCCATGAGTTACTCAAAATTTTCTGTTGAAAGGATTATTTTTAAAAAACCCAGAGACCTTTATATTAAGAAAATGAAACAATAATCTTACTGAAGCAAAAATTTTTTTTATGATTCACAAAGTCTAAATACTGACACATTGTTGACTTTCAAAGTCTTCAGCATATTTGAAACTTATGGCATCTACATTTTTCAATAAAGTTTATACAGCTGCAAGCTCTTTCCAAATAAATATAGATGGAATTGGGCAATTTTGGACAAGAATAAATTTACAAGGCAAGACGTCTCAAAGGTCTATTTTAAAAGGTTACAAAAGTACAAAAGAATTTAATTTGTGCACACTATGGATGTAGAGCTTCCATACTGAAGTATCTATTCATGAAGACTTATGACCAGCTCTCCTTTGCATGAGAACCTCAATGTTTTTATTCTACTCACATCAAAATTGAGCACATGGGCATTATAGCTATAGTGGACCCAAAGTCTGGGACCCAAGATGAACAGTGTATTGTAGCCATACTAACCTTATCTCTCAAAAGACTTCATCCTTACATCAAACTTCAGCAGTAGATCATCGTACATACTGCCAAACATTCTGTGACAAACTTTGCATAGAATTTGTTTACATATTCAACAAGACCAAATCAGACTTTGTGCTAATTTCAAAATAATTATCTTTTAAGCAAGTATTGACCACATAGTTTTAACTCATGTCTTGTCATAGCAGTGCTGAAACAAAAACGTTACCTGTGTCGATGTGAGCATGGCCCATGGCATACAGAGTGTGCTGTGAATCTCCATTCTTCTGACTGAAAAACTTCTTAGCTAGACCTTTGGCACTGGCGAGGACAAGAAAACCTGAAATTAGACCTTTGTCATTTGAATTCTATGCGTTATTGTTGTCACTGTTATTGTTGTTGCTCCACCTGCTCTTAGACCCAATGCCTCAGAGTTGATTTCTGTAAAATCTATAATATTTACTTTCAATAAAAAGAGTAAATTAAAATAAAATTACCTTAACGACCACATGTCAAAGACAATTACCCGGACAAATAACCACTTCCCCACGCTTTATGTTTTTAAAAAATATCATAGTGACACAGAAAACAGAAGTTGACTCCCTGACAAACACTTTCAAAACACCGCCAACAGCAAACGAGCTCCTTAGGAAACATCGCGTGAAAAAGAAGCCTTGGGTCACAGACGACATCCTTGACCTATGTGACAAACGAAGAGCTCTGAAGAACAAGAAAAAGGAACCAGAAGGTGCAAAAGAATACAGAGAGGCGAATCTGCAAGTGAAAAAGGAAATGAGAGAAGCTAGGAGAAGTGGATTTAAGAACAGTGTGAAGAAATAAAAGACAGCCTGAATCAAAACAAAAGGAAAAAGGCTTACCAAATCATGAAAGACCTCACAAGTACCAAACAAGGGCGGACCACATCAATACAAAGTAAAGAAGGGAAATGTTTAACGGGGGAACAAGAAGTTCAGAACCGGTGGACAGAATATTGCTCTGAACTGTACACCCACAAAACCACAGGAGACCCAAGAGTGCTCAGTGTCTCCCAATCACAAGACAATGACAAAAGCAGTATCTTAACCCTATCTGTACGTCGTATTTTACTAAACTCGTCAAAAAAAAGTCAAGGAACAGCTTGTGTTTTCACTTGTCAAATTCAAACTTCATTATCTCACAAACCCGTTATGATCAGTCAACCAAACTTGGCACACGCACTGACGATTAGACACACTTTGCCTGTACGGCAAATCTGCTTGCACCAGCTTCATTGCGATGGCGCAGGGCATTCTGAAACACAGCCGAAAAGCATGAAAAATGGGCTAAATTTCTGTGACTCAGCAACATTGGCATAGGGACTGTTAGCTAAAACTAAGCTTGGCACGTGCTAAACAGATGTCTTAGCTGTGAATATTGCTCACTTACAACCCTTTATAAGCCAGCGTTTTTGAGCCATGTTTCATTACAGCACGATGGTCCAACAACACTCGCTGCCTGACATCGACCGAGGACGAGCCCTTACCTGGCTCCAAGATGGCTCCACGTTCCCAGTTGTTGCACATCGATTTGGGGTGTCTCCATTAGTCATATAGAGGCTGCAAGAACGATGGCTAGCGACCGGAAGGGTCCCGGACAGGCCTCGACAAGGATCGCCCCGTTTGACCAACAACAGCATTGACCGGTTCATCGTCAAACAGGCCGTGACGTCACGAACCACCACTGCAAACGGCATCAGGGACCAAATACGGGTGATAGCCAATGTCCACGAGAGCGAAGAGACGGTAAGGGGCCGTATCCGTAGAACCAGGTTTGCTCCTTGTGTCCCTGCCAGGCGCCCAAGGCACACGCCGCCCAACAAAGCAGCTCGCCAGGCATGGCCTACTCGCCAATAACAGTGGACACATTGTCAGTGGGACCAGGTAGTCTTCTCAGACGAATCCAGATTCAACTTGCTGCTCCCAGACAGGCGAGCCCACGTCTGGAGGTGCCGAGGAGAGCTGTTCCACCCTGAGTGCATCCAGCAGGTGGCGCCCTACTTTGCAGGGTCCGTTCTGGTATAGGGAGACTTCTCAGCTCACCACAGGACCCTGTGTACCATATACAGGGCAATTTGACCTCGGCTAGGTACAGGGACGAAATCCTGCGTCCCCTTGCTGTTCCTCTCCTGAAGCAGATTGGACCCCAGGCTTGTACTGCAGGACGACAACGCCACGCCATATCGCGCATGCGTCATGGGGGACTTCCTGCAGCAGCGAGCTGTCACCTGCATGGACTGACCGGCTTGTAGTCCGGATCTGAACCCAACAGAGAACATTTGGGATCACATTGACCGGTGGATAAGGGACAACCACCCTCCTGCACAAAACAGTCAACAACTCTTGGGCTACTTCGTCCAGGAGTGCAGAACCTACCCCAACAAGTTCTCCGAAGGCATGTCCTGTCCATGCATCGACGCTGTGCCGAGTTTTTGATCAAACGAAGTGGCTACATCCACTATTGACAATGTTCATGAAGAACTTTGGCTGTTCAGACTTTTGAAATCCGACCAGTGTGACTTAAACTCATTTTACATAAACTTCTCGTTGTTGTTGAAATTGGAAATTGTTCACACTTAATCTAGAGAGTCGAAAGCATCTTTTGTGAAAAAATGAATAAATTCGGCTAAACTGTTCTTCAGTAATCTTTCTTTGAATTTTTGTTCCTTGACCTTTTTGTACGAGTTTATCATATCCATACGACTTGGGGGACTCTGTGCCACTACTTTCCAAAGAGAAAATTTCCTCGTTAATCCGATCAGTACGCTTTGCATAGCAGTCTGTCTAAAAGATTTTTTTGAGAAATACTGAAAGTTTCAAAGAGATCTTCGCACTAGAAGTATTCTAAAATGTGAAGAATACAACCCCGGGGGTACAAAATAACCCCAGGGCGTATGGATAGGGTTAAGAGAAGAGATAGTGGCAGCAGTCTCATCACTGAAGAAAGGGAAATCAGCTGGAATAGTCAACATCACAGCAGAACTAGTTCAAGCAGGTGGAGACTCGGCGATAGACATGCTATGGATAATCTACAACAAGATCTGGCAGACAGGCGAATGGCCAACATCATGGACTCAATCCTTGATTATCACCCATTCCACGAAAGGCAATCTTCAACAATGCCAAAACTATTATACTATTCTCCTGATTAGAGTAAAGTAATGCTTAAAGTCATTCTCAACAGACTGAAGCCACACGCAGAGAAAATCACAGCAGAAGAACAGGCAGGCTTCAGGACAGGGTGTAGCACAACTGAACAAATATTCAACCTGAGAATCATCCTGGAAAAGTACTTCTAACACCAACTGGAGCTTCACCACATATTTGTGGACTTCAGAAAGGCTTTTGACAGTATGGCAGGAAGCTTTGTGGGCAACCATTAACTTATACAACATCAACGCCAACCACCTGATCAAAGTCATAGAAAAGCTATACAACAAAGCTATGAGCGCAGTCTTTTTCAACAACAACACTGGGGAATGGTTCCGAACAGCCGTGGGAGTACGCCAGGGTTGTCTGCTCTCACCCACTCTTTTCAACCCTTTTTTGGAGAGAATCATGACTGATGCACTTGAAGATCACGAAGGACTAGTCAGTATTGGGGGCAGAGCGATTAATAACTTACGTTTTGCAGACGACATAGACGGCCTTGCGGGACAAGAGCAAGAATTAGTCAGCTTAATAGACTGTCTTGAAAAGATCTTCAGTCTACAGCATGGAAATCAGCGCTGACAAGACCAAACTGATGTCTAACAGCAACAAGAACATCACAGTGGACATCCAGGTCAACAACCAGAGGCTTGAGACCATACACAGCTTCAAATACCTGGGTGTAATAGTGACAAATGAAGGATCAAAACCAAAAATAATCTCCAGAATAGCGCAAACTTCAGCATCAATGACCGAGTTGAAAACCATCAGCAGAGATGCCAACCACAGAAAACCGAAATGAGTATTGGGAAATATGAAAATGTGTATTTTCAGGGGAAAATCTGTATTTCCCACGACCGACCGACCAACCAGTAATAGTAAAATGTTCAGGGTGTCCAGCAATATTTCCTGAAAAAAAAATTACAAGCTCACCAGCTCGAAAAAGGGAGCACACACACGTACAATATACAGTGGAACTCGGATTCAACGAGGTCGTCGGGCCTGACCTAAAATCTTGTTAAATCCGAGTGTTCGTTATAGCAAACACGATGTTTTGTATAGATAATTACAGGCACCGAGCAAGTAATGTACAAGAGAAGTCATAAGTAGTGCCTGAAATGCCTGCATATTATGAGCTGTGTAAAAAAAAGACCGATTCGTTCAAATACACACGCCTGTGTAATCTCGATTGTTTACCAAAAAGTTGTGTTGCTGTGTAGAGTCTAGCATACGACAACTTTTGATTCCATAGACCAGCGCACAATTCAGTACGTAGATCTACGTCAAGGCTAGCTTATTATTGTAATATTGATCAGTTGCCGAGGCGAAAAAAGACTGATGCATTTGTATGCGACGTTCAACGTCCAGACCGCTAGTGCCTCCTCCCCCCTCCCTGACACGCACACACAGTCACATGTGTGCAGGCCGTCTATCCGACCCCGACACACGCCAGAGTAGACACGTGCGCGTGCCAACTTCACATGTGTTGGTATTTAAAAAGGCCGCTGATTGGTCGCATGCAATCGGGTAAGTGAATAATGGTTCACGATGCAGGTGCAATGGATGGTTTCCGAGAATAGATAAAGCTTGTTCCGGGAGAAAAATTAGCGAAGCCACGTCTGCGGGGGCTGTTCACCTTGGAAGCGACCTCGTTGAATCCGAGCTCGCTGATTTAAGTGCTCGTTGAATCCGGGTTACTTTTATTGATTTTAAAGAAGAAAAAAACCCAGGGAATCTATCTCATCTCGTTGAATCCGAGTTCTCGTTGAATCCGAGCTCGTTAACTCTTGTACATGTATCCAGTCAACAACATGTCAGTGTTCAATGTCGTATTGGGGTCTTGTTTGACTTAAGTATTTCAGTCTATTATATAATATTTTCCTTTCATTAATATATAAAAAATAAATCCTGCTTTGAGAGTTCGGAAGGGCCTAGAACAAGAATTTCGACTATCAAGAACCATTCTGGGTGTCATGATTCATATTATGGACTGACAGACTCAAATTATTGCTCAAACTCAAGAGAAAAGCAATAACTTCAATGGCTCAAGTAGACCCATGCACTGTGAGAGTTGTAAAACTGTGGAAGAGCAAGATGCAGTGACACTGAAAATCTGCCAGTCTTGGACAGAAAGCT